CAAGCCTCCTGTAATCAGATTGGCTGAAACAAAGAATCAATCAGATTGTACCTGGCTTGTTCTCTCTTATAGTTAGGATGAAGCATGAAGTTGTCTTTGCCAAATAAAAGATAGGACTGATAAACCTCTGATTGGTCAAGACAACCCTTTGTGATGCCTTTACTATAAAAGGAAAAGCTCTCCTAAAATCTGATTGGTTGATAGAAAAAGCTTTCAATCAATCAGATTGTAATCCATTTACTTTGCTTTACTTTACTTTTCGGATAAAGTAGACATACTTTACTTTATTGGGTACAATAAAGCTGACTTACTTTACTTTACTTCTTAAAGTAAAGATAAAGTGCCACTCCTAAACGGAACCAAAGCTCACAAAACACGAACGTATCGTTCACTAAACAAAGAAATCTGTCTTGAATTCACGGATGCATGCGCCATCTTAAGAGTTATCACACGCATATGGCTTCTAAAAGACCGATAAAAGGTAAATTATAACAAAAGCTTGATGAAGGATTTCCTGTTGCGGAGTAGTGAAATCGATAAAAAATGGAAAAATAAAACTATAAAAAAAATTGTCAACGTAATTTAACAGCCATTCGTTCCCTGTGTTTAAGTTTATTATAAACTACGAGACCATCTGATCATATACTACTGATTATGTTTGTAAAATATTTTGAATTTGTACAGCATCTGCAGATTGAAATTATATTCTTTCATAAGAGAATTCAACTTATGCATTGATATTTAAATGGAAGTTTCGTTTTCAGAATTTCTGAGTGTTATTCTTCGCAATTTCCTATTTGATTTTAAACGAGCAAAATAATCTTTTCAACGATTGTTGCAATAATACAACGGTATTTTTTTGTACTCTTAAAGGAATAGATACAAAAATTTTGTTTATGTTTAAAATTTAAATGATCAACTTCATTTAAAAAATTTAAACTAAACAACAGAAGAACAACAAAGATATGCTACAATAGTGAGACGTTGACTAGATAAAACAGAATGAAACAATAAATTTCTCTTTTTGTTAAACAATAGTTAGATTGCATTTCTTCTCATGTATACTTTTGATAAGAGTCAAATGACAAAGCCTAAATATTGCACAACAGCAATGTGTTTTTTTGTTTGTTGACATTTCATGAATCATTCTTTGAAAGATAAGCATAAGTTTTTTTATATATAAGATCGACAATCTTCTAGAATACCTACTGTGAGTCGTACCTACAGCAGCGCTACTATTTGTTTCGAGAAAAAAAAACATCACAATGTCGTATCCTGGTCAACCTAATTATGGTACATGTCCTCCTCCACACTATGAAGGAAATCCTGGTTATTGTCCTTCTCCACACTATGAAGGAAATGCAGGTTATTGTCCTCCGCCACCTCCAACGATTATAGCCTATCATACCGTTGGTAATTGTCCTAGTTGTCATGTAAGTTTATCAGTAAAATAAAAAATGACATATTAACTTAAATGTAAATATAAATATCATTTTATTTTTCAATTTCAGCAAGGCTTTTTAACATCGCAGGTCTCTTGTTTGGGTATTTGCTGTGCTATTTTCCTGTTTCCTATCGGTCTTATTTGTTTGTTTGCACTTCAAGAACAAAGATGTTCATTGTGTGGATATACAGTATAATTTAATAATATGAAGAAAAATCAACAATATTCTTAATTTTTATACAAACTATATAATCATGTTCATAAAAAAAAAAGTATTTTCTTGTAATAGTCATACAAATAAAATATACGGTAGCGCTCATCCTACGAATTTATTGATCTTTCTCTGAAAGAAAACATCAGATGCTATCGAGAACCTTTCTGTTAAAAGCATTTCAAACTACAGTTTATGCATCAGATACGTCTTGATTCATTTTTGAGAACATCAATTCACAATCAAAATGTTCTGGTTCTAACTAAAAACAATCATCAGGTATCAGTTGAAAATTTTCTGTAAAGAGAAATACGTTTTTAAGCCGAGTGACATGCTGCTATACATTCAAAATTAATTTAGATTTTACTTAACTCCGCCTTCTCATAAAATAGAAGGTCATCCCCTATTATAAGATCAACTTCATTAGAAGGACACCGACAAGAAAAATTTCACAAGATGTAATAGAAGGTCATGGGTTTTCCAAAATCATTTTTTTGGAGTACAGTGGATTTTTGAGGTTTTAGCATTCAAAAATCTGACTTTTGAGTAAAAAACCAAGTTTTGGTCATTTAAATAATTTTTTTCTAGTAAAAATCTTGATTTTGTGGTACTTAGTTGTTAAAAGCTACTGTTTAAAGACTAGAAAACATTTTCAAATCTCTTGGTTTTTTAGGTAAATGCTAGCAAAAAACTAACCAGCAATACAGGATTAGTTTTGAAAGAGCGATGTAAGATTCTACAGTAGAAGGCAATGGTCTTTTATTCGAAGGGGAGAAGGGTCACGTTAAGAAACTATCTAATTCAGTAGGTCATGAATGAAGAGGAACGATATAAATTCTACACAGCTTTAGCCGTTATCGTGTATTGCTTACGCAAAAATTAGTGGTTATTTAGAGTCAATCTATAAAAAGTATTCCCACAAAGCAAATTTAAAGCGTCATCTTGATATTCAAAAATACGAATTAGATTCGTTACATGCATTTTCATTGATATCAATAAAACTTTAGTAACCGTACTTCGATGCAGATAAATATATACGTTACTAGTCGATAGAGTACTCATCACAAGAGTCGTAGTTGCTGTTAAATTTTTGAGGGCAAAAAGGAAGTTTTCTCAAAATAAGATAGGTTCTTTGATCTGAAACATATTGGCACAACGATGCTTTCTTTCTTCAAGAGTTCTAGGATTCACTCAAGCATACATTCCATGGCTTGTAATAGGATAAAATAAACAATGACAATGATAAAACAAGTAACTGTAGCTGAATTAGACATTGAAAATTTTCAGTTTCAAAAGAGTTTTAGTTAAGAAGCTTATAAAAAAGTTTTTATATGTTAAATATAATTTTTCATCTTCTTGTGAAGACAATTCGAAACATCTACAAAAATGCGAACTAAAAATTAACGATAGTAATTAGAGGAAATGTGAGTTTCCAATGTACAGTTTAGACTCAATTGAAAATGAAACTTGAAGACGAGCAAAGTTAAAGATTATCAAATTTCTTTCTTATTTAACAACTAGCCATTCTAATTTGGACTTCAGCTTTGAAAAGTCTTAGCAGATGGTCCAAATTAGAATATGACGGATTGTCAAATTTCCGATAGAAAATTGTCGAAATTATGGAGTTCTCCAACATTCTCGCTTCGTCTCATTGTGGCTCATCGGTAAATCTAGATACAGGTACCGGTATCGAGCTGCAGATTGCAGTGCTGTAATACACTGCTGATGGTTTAACAGAACCATGAAGCAACTATGTCGTCAAGGAAGGTGTGGATGAATAAAAAAGCGATACCCATCTACATCTCACTTCAAAGGTATAGAGTCTGCCACTAAAATGAAAAACTTCCACCCATGAAGAAAAATCTTTCAAAAATTTACCTTTTTGTCAAAATAAAAGAAATCACTTTTTTTTAAACAGATACAGAAATCAAGAATGAAACAAACAACTATACTTAGAAAACTTCATATAAAAGACAATTCAACTTCATCACTCATCGAGTAATGGTGGTAGCCTTAGAACTTGTTCGTTTCGGAAGTGTTCTAGCACGATTGAATCCGCACAGAAACATTCTGAAAGAGTTATCTATTCACCGGTAACAGAAACAAAAAAAAAGTTGCATCTTACAATTTCTCATATACAAAAAGGCTTTTTTATAATCAATAATTTTCCAAAGCTTTTGCCAAACTTAAAACATTTCCGCCCAAGCACTGACTCACACGCGTAGATGCTGTAAGTCCATCTAACACGTGAACCTACCCATATCAACACCCTCATTTTTTTATTTCGTTTATTTTTTTTACATTGCTCTCTCTCTCTCTGCTATTTCTTATAAATTTTACTTTTATATGTTCATATGGAAAAAGTATGAGATATTTTCAGATTTAAGTAAAATACTTAAATTTCGAAATTGACGAAAATTTTCGATAAACTATAAGAATTTATTGACTAATAATATATAGAAATTTACCATAAAATTTTAATGAAAGCAAAGGTTAATTATCCAAAAATTATGAAAATTCCTTCAATATTATTAAGAAATTTCTTATTGAATTCTGAAATAATTGAATCATTACAAAGTCATTTCCAGACAATATCGACAACTATCACTTTTCAACTGATATGCATAAAACAAATTTAGCCCCAACATCGACTAATTATAGGAAATATTATCGAACAATTTACTTCTTTTTGGATATGGGTTTTTAGGTTCTATATGATTTTCAATTTTCCATTTTCGGGGTAGTTTGTTGAACATATTGGTTATTGTATTTCATATCATTCTTCTTCTAAGTCTTGATTCAAATACTATCATCAACAAATGATCTACTGAAAGCCATAAGGAAGATGATAATTGTTTTCTCCCACTCAATCCAAATTATTTTATTTCGATTATTGTTTGAAAAATTTCTCGGAAGTCATTCTTTCGATCAATATCTGACGAACAAAATATTCGTATTAGAATTTTTCTATTGAATACAAAATCAATGATATTTTTCAAAAAAAACTATAGACGAGGTCTTGTCATAACTCATACCCTTCAAACCATCTGATGAGTTCTACCGCACTGACACTCTCAAATGATGATTTCAATATTAGTGAGTCAATCGTCGGAAAATTTTACTTCTGAGAGGTAGCTTTTTCAGTATGTGTTGTATTCGACATGAGCAAACTCTGTTCTTTTCTCTTTTTATTTCACAAGAAATCAAAATGTGAGTATTATCTGATATTGTTCTGTCCTTTATTTGCACAATTCGTCACTTTTTACGGCATACCTTTCGTAAGAAGTAAAAATAACAAAGATTACATCACCTTGTGAGTAAGAATTTTGTATGTGGAAGTAGCTGAATCTATTAAAATTTCTTATAGTCTGTTGTAGGGATGAACCATTTATCTTAACTTTAAATTAAGTTAAGAAGTATTACTTAAGTCCTAATATTGATGAATAGAGATCATCTGGCATCTCTTCATTTCTTAATATTAAGTGTAAGTTTTTCTAATTTAAAACTTAGTGCAGATAAAATTCAGTTTAAATGATTGTATTTGGAAAATATAAATGAATTTCGAATTTTACTTGACTCCACCAACGGCGGGTGTGGGTTTAGGTACCTTATCCGAATACGCTCACAATCGCACCCACTCCCAGATGCCATCGGTGTTAAACTTCTAATGCGAGATTACTCAGAAGTAAAAAGCGGGAAAGACGTGAGTAACAGTGTTGCAGAAGCAGCAAATAGGAGATTAAAGGCATTTTCATCTGCGGGTAATGATGTCGTCAGTGTTTCTCACATTAAACGTAGTATGCAACCAAGTCGGGTCGATTTTCATCAAATAATTTTGGTTTCTTTATGGAGGCATAGAATGCTGTAATGGCATCAAGAATGTCAAAGTTGCGACGGCTAAAACCATTGAAAACATTCTGATTCTCGTGAAGCTATCAGTTTTTGAAATAAGCTTGATTCCAAATATTGAGTATATCGATAATATACGAATGATTGTACGGAAGGTGTCTGAAATCAATTCAGGCTTGATCCTACCTTACACTGGCTTATTGATGCGAATAAATATGTGAATCATCGAACCGTTCAAGTCGATGAACACTCATGAGTAAAGTTCCACTTGCAAAAAAAGTATCGAGCCAATCGATATTGTAAGACCTTTTGTTTCTGTCTGAACAATACATGCATCCAAAATTTTGAGACGAAGGATAAACTAACCATGCATTTGGCTTCTGATGATCATACTAGGAAAGAGAGCAAACTGATCTCGAACGATATGGCAAAAATTCATTTATTTGAAAAGTGAACTTCGAGTGGAAAGGATCCCAATTGGCCATTAGATTTTCTCTTGCCGTTATTTATCTTGTTTTACTTTGATCTATTAGAAAAACATCAGCAGATTATTTTCACTTGAAACAATTCAGTTGACTTGTATGAGGTCGCTCAAAGGCTCTAAGAAGATATGAGAACAGCCCCATGATTAGAATTAGCTGAATCGATTCCTGAAAAAACTCATTAATATCAGACTGACCTTTCTCGTTTGTTTCCATTCTTGTACATATGTTGCTACGTGTAGGGATGTGCAAACTGAACTTTTTTGGTTCCGACCCCGATCTCGGCGCAATGGTTCAGTTCCACACACTCCTAATTATGTGATGAATTGCACTAGTATTGTATGAATTGTTCTAGATTACGTGGCTGTGACATTTCTGATCGGAAATATTCGACTGTAATTGCCTCATCTGCTACTGCATTGCAGTCCATGTCTCTATCAAAATATTTCGAATCCTTCAGCCAAATCGGCTGAGCACTGCGTACACAGAAACCGGCACAACCAATCGATATTAAGGTCAAAGATTTTATTTGAGAAATACTGACCGACGAAAAAAGTCGTGGACGGAAGATACCTGCGGACGAATCTGTTATCCGTATCCGTATAGAAAATTCCTATGATTATTGTTCAATTCCATATTTAATATACATATCTGCACACTTTTAAAGGCTGATTTTTTTTACAATGATAATATCCTTTTATTTCGATTGGGATTACGTCAACGGAAGACCAATGTACTTGGTGGTAGATTGTTTATTTTCTGACATTTTTCTTTCAGTTTTCGTGATCTATTTTGCTTAAAAAGAAAACCTCGCTTTTCCTTACAAATAACTATGACAAAATTTCAATCAGCTAATTTTTCTTGGAAGATTTTTTTTGTCAACGAATATAATTGATCGTAATATTTATTTGAATATGTTCAAAATCCACTGTAATATAACAGAAGAGCATGCACAATGAGAAAAATTATTTCAACAGTAAACATATTTTGATAATTTTTGTTTCCATTACTTGTGCTAGTTGTTGAAGGTGTACGGCTAAATGTCATTGGTTGTGTAGTGATTATCGTCGTACTTGGAGGTCTCGTTATTTGATTCAATGGTTCCAAATGTTCGTCTTGATTTTGAAGAATATCGTTTATCCAATGATAGTAGTATGACAATCGAGTATAAATGCCAGGATAGCCCGCATCTGCACAGCCTTTTCCGTACGAGACAATCCCTACTTGTTCCCAATAGCGTCCTGTCCATTCAAAAATCGGTCCACCCGAATCACCTACATAGTTAATTGTACATGAACAATTTAGTTGCAGTTAGAATGAAGAAAAATTCGAAAAAAAAAACAATAACATACCTTGGCAGGAATCTGAAAAGCAAAAATAAAAATAAGATTAATAGATCTAGATTAATAGTTCTGATATGAAGATTTCTATTTTTGAAGTCTATACGAATAGATAGATTTAGAGTAAAGGAAAATTTTTGTTTTTATTCTCCTAATCGAGATCTATGTTATATGAAAATTTTTGAATAATTTTCATTGAAATATTCTCAAGACGTCTCAATTAAAATCTATTGGCGTTAGTGTGATCGCTTTCAATGACAAAAACTATTGTCTTTAAATTGAAAGTGATAAAAACGAAATTTTTTTTCATGTTCGAATTTCAAACTCGTTCTTTACTAACCTTTGCCACCTTCCATAATTCCTGCGCAGAATTGCACTTGTGTATCATAAATAGAGTTCAAACATGTCGGATGATTATTGTCAATTGTATAGACTTCGACTTGTTTGAGCATTTCGGGTAGAAAGAAACCTTCACTTTTCAAATAACCCCACCCAATTACGGCCAAACGTGAACCATTTCTCGGATGTTGAATAGTCAATGCAGGTGGATCAATTCGGTGAATACAGGTTTTGGCCAATCGTTGATTATTAGTGTAGACGAATGGAGTTTTGACATGTAAAAGAGCAATATCATGATGAAACTCAAGACTTTGACTTGTGTAATTTGGATGTACGTAGATATGATCGATCTCTCGTATGATTTGTCTTGGATCAGATCGATTTGTCATGCCAACGGCAACAGTGACGTTCATGATGCTATCGATTGACAACCCAACAACGCAATGAGCAGCAGTGAGAATGAATGATTCAGATAGAAGTGTTCCACCACATTGATGAACTGTTCCAGGAAAACGAAGTGAAACCATCATTGACCAACTAGCTTCGACAGCATCTTCACCGCCAACAATCCGAGATGATAACAGAGTAACATCATTTTGACCACAACCACATGTCGATGTTCGATCACATCGATAGACAACAGTTGGTAATGGTGTGGATGTATTCGACCATCCATGGACTACAGATTCAATCCAATCAGAATAGTAGGCAAGTCGTGTATAAATCGCCGGACGACCTTCCTCTGGACAACCACTATAGCTAATGATGCCTACCTAGAACGAAAATATTGAAGAATGAACAAACTCATACATGATTTGTTTGACCTGTTCCCAATGATTGCCTTTCCATTCCATAATTGGGCCACCAGAATCGCCTATAACATGAAATACAGAACAAATTGAAATTTCTGTTTTCTAATCTTCTACATACCATGACTTGGACCTAAAAATATTTAGAAAAATAAAACCATAAAATTCGGTCTCAATGTACACAATAAGCTAGTGAATAACAAACCTTTACTTCGATTGAACGAATCAGTACAAAATTGTTGTCTGGCATCATGAATTGATCGTTGACAAATTAGATCGTCATTATCCATAGCAAATACACGTGCTTGTCGAAGATTATCCGGTAACATAATTGTTTCTGTTCGCATTGAACCCCATCCGACAATAGCCAAACGTGTACCAGCCAATGGATAATTAACTATGTTGACTGATGAATTCAATTTTGGTACACATGTTTGAGCCAAATTTATCCAACCGTCAAGCATCAGTGGTGGATAAATGTGCAATAGAGCAATATCATTTCGATAGGTACGATCCGATGCAATCCAATTTGGATGAATCACAATACGATCGACTCGACGATCATATCCCATTGTACTTGAGTGATTATATACACCAGCTCTAACGGATAGATTTGATGGAAATAAACCATCTACACAATGTGCCGCTGTAAGAATATAAGAATCATTGACGATTGTACCGCCACAATAATGATGGGGAGAAGTATTTAGACGAATTGAAACTACCATAGTCCAACTGTTATGAATTGCTTCTTCACCATTGATAATACGCGATGGACTGATTTGCACATTATTCCAGCTGCACCCACATGTCGATGTTGTTGCATAACAATCATATATTTCTGTAGGTTCTCCAGTCATTACAGAAGTTGTATCGGTCGTAGTATCTGTCACTTCCGGGAAAATGACATCGTTTAGAACAGATACAATCCATTCGTGATAGGCAGCTAATCGTGTATAAATACCGGGATCGCCTTCCAAGGCACATCCTTTACCAAAACTTGTAATACCAACCTAAAGAAGAATTCTTCTTAGCAGAAAGAAATGATTTTCGTCGAAGTTCGACTAACGTAAACATATTTGAATCGTTCAGAACGAATTACGGTTATTCTATTAAGAAGAAAAATGTTTTCCTATTGGCTAATATGCAGGATCTTTTCGTTGTCACGAAGGAGAAAATATAACAGGTGGAAAATTTTCGCTGTGTACTATTTTGGAAAAGACGATTGGAAATAAGTTTTGAAGTATATAATGAGGAAAGTAAATCTCATCTCTTCACACGCTTCGCCCCACAGAACGTGACGAACATTTCCAAATGCTACTCCTTTGATATTTTCGTGGATCATGATTAGCATAGCGAGAGTTTTCATGTACAATGAAAGTGGTTTAACTTCGAATATATAGATTATACATATGATAACAGAAACATTCTTCCTCGGTGATCTATTCTATCGAAGCCACTCAACTTTTTCAAACGATTTTATCGCTATTCGCTTGTGAAATTATTTACCTGTTCCCATCGATCGCCAAGCCATTGTAAGATTGGTCCACCAGAATCACCTAATTAAATACAATTTTTCACAATCATTTAAATAGTAGTACACTATCGAATACATACCTTGACAAGTATCTACAAACAATAAGAGACAAGAAATAAAGTATGAGAGATAGAACAAGACTTGAATGGATTGAAACTAACCTTTGCCACCTTCGTAGAGTGCAGCACAAAATTGTACTTGTGTATCATAGAGTGATTTGTTACAAATTGGATCACTGTTATCAATCGTGAATACTTGAACTTGATGAAGATTGTCAGGTGAATTATCAAGCCAGCTGTGTCTTATATTACCCCAGCCAATTGCGGCTAAACGTGTACCATTGCTCGGATAACTTTCAATATTGGTTGGTAACTGAATATTTGGCACACAAGTTCGTGTTAACAATGGATTTGAGGCAAGTTCAAGTGGTTGTGATAAATGCAATATTGCAATATCATGTCGACGTTCACTTGAGAATGATGACCAATCCGGATGAATATAGATACGATCCACTTCACGACTTACACCGTGTGGATCAGACCTATTATGTACACCAGCCACAATCAGTATATTACCTGGCGTTTTATCATCAACACAATGAGCTGCTGTGAGAATATAGGAATCTGAAAAAATCGAACCACCGCAAAAGTGACTGTTGTCCGAACGATCCTGCAGGGAGACCATGAATGACCAACTGTAGGGTACTGCTTCTTCTCCGCCAACGATTCTCGATGATGTAAGTTCAACATTTTTATAGCCACAGCCACACGACACTAAGGTGTTGTCACATGTGTATGTCATTGGTGTTGGCTTTTCCGTTTCGTCCAGAATTGAGTCGATCCAGTCATTGTAGGGAGCCAATCGAACGAAGACAGTCTGATAGTCAGATGATGCACAATCGTTCTTTCCGTATGAGACAACACCCACTTGTTCCCAACGATCACCAATCCATCGAAGAATTGGTCCGCCAAAATCTCCTAAAATGAATCGCGATACATGATAAATTGAAGACAAAATACAATTACGATTCACAAACCGATGCAAGGACCTATAATGAATAGACAAAATATAGAGATTGTTAATGAAATTGCTCGAGAACAATAAAAATATTCACCTTTGCCACCACCGTAAACTCCAGCACAGAATTGCCAATGAGGATCATGAATTGTGTTGGCACACGTCGGTTGATCGTGGTGAATAGAATATAGATTCACCTGTTGTAGTTTATTGGGCAACTCACCCCAAGTTGATAAACGACCCCATCCGATGACAGTCAGATTAGTGCCATTAGAAGGATAGTCTATGGCGTCCTCTGGATGCTCTAGCCGTGGTGGCCGACAGGTTCGTGCAAGATACAAGTTCATTTTAATATCGAGTGGTTTGGAGAGATGTAGAATTGCTATGTCATGTGTCATGTTGCCCGATATTCCGGTATAGTTGGAAAACATTCAGAAAATGACGTCCGATTCGGGAAACTGGAAGAAAGATTCGACTGAAAATCAATAGTTAAAGGAAAAGGAACGATAACACAGAATTATGAACAGCGTTCAAACATAGAATTTTTTCGTAACGACACTAATCTGAAGCCAGGAAAGCAATACGACTTTAATCGTCAAAACTCTCTTAAACTCGATTCTAAAGAAAAGACAATTTCAATATCTGTTTTAAAATAGTAAATAGAACGTTTTCAAGTTGAAAAATTCGGTTAAGAAGAAAAAGCAATATAATTATTTGTTTCTCAATTGATATTAATTCTTCTTACATGTGAACGGATATCCTTTATGGATATGCCCTTTGAATGAATAATAATCTTATCCACATTGCGAATGGTTGGAGACGTGTCAGATTGCTCGTGAATACCAGCAGCGATCGTGACATTTTCAAGAGATGAATTCTGCAGTGAATGTACGCACTGTGCTGCTGTGAGTATGTATGAATCTGAAAGGATAGTCCCACCACAACAATGACTTAGAATACCATCGTTGTCACAATCATATCGGATTGAGACAATCATCGACCAACTGAATGGTATTGCTTCTTCACCATTGACGATGCGCGCATTTGTAACTACATCGTGATAGCCACAACCACAAGGAACTGCTTGTTGATCACATTCATAATATGTTCGTGAACATACCGAACTAATATGTAGCACAATTAGCACGATGCATGTCAATCGATGATTCATGATTAACTGCAAAAACAAGACTTAAGTGATCTGATATAAGACCGAAACATTTGTTTTATATGATTGAGAAAGTAAAAGATATTTGATATGAGTTTTAAGACATAAGTACACATTTCATTTTGCTAGTTATGTTGATCGAAAGATATATTTTACTTAGGATAAAACAAAGATATCCTCAATTGACACACAGTCTAACATGAATCTTCGATGAAAATTGATCTGATTCTCAACAAGCATTTGTTATTGCTGTTCTTGTTGTCCCATCTAGTGTTTCAAAACATATAGAAATAAATTGAAATACGGAGTACTAGTGATCTAATTCATTTTGCGCATTTATTCTGCGAAATTAACAAAGTGAGGTCATAAGATACCAATAGGAATATGAACTGGTGTCTTAAGAACAAAAAAAATTGACACAAACATTGATGTAAGCAGTTACATGATACTAATCAAATGTTATTATTGACCAGGGCTTTATCGTTTTGATTATGATAACTTGATTTATTTATTCAGTCAACAACATGCAAATGCGTATCAAAAACACTGAGTTACTCTTTTTTTTTCTACCTTCGATTCGTATTTGCAGAGACTTCTAAGTAGGATTCTTTTCATGTAGTATATCATTGCGAAAATAACGTTTTCGTATGTGCAACATTATTTTTCTTGTAAACCATACAGGTAACTTTTCTCCTGAGAAAAGATTCGAATATTTGATCATATTCTTGTATACTTGTGACGTCTGTTATAATGCCAGAAACCTTGAACAGGCAAAATATGTTCTTGCATTTCTGACTTCAGTATCAATGATCCTATCGGTTACTCGACAGAATAATCGAAACAAGAAAAACTATTTATGATCCTGTCGAAAAATACCTAGAAAATGAACATAGTACTAACATTGTTTGTTTTTTTCTATGTTGTAAATTGAATGATGGTTTTGATAAGGATAGTCAATGTAAGAAAAATTTTAGCAACAATCTAATGAATATCAATTTTTCAGTTAAAAAGATCGGATTTTTTATCCACTTATTTTTTGTTTTACAAAAGTCTTCTAAATGAGTAGAAAAAGATCGATGAATCTTTCTTAATTTATTGGTAGAATTTCCAAAAAAAAACAAGTTAATTAAAAATAATTCCGTATTTTATAGTCTGAACAACTAGTTCTTGTCTGTCGGAAAATTTTACATGGAACGTATTGTAATTTCAAATGACTAATCATTAGAAAAAACCGTGCTGCTGTCAAGAAAAACTTTAAAAGGTTATTTGTTGACTTATAGATATAGTTGTGAGCTCTTTTTTCGTTTCTTCTGATGCATTTGTAAAGCATATGCAAATATCTCCGAATTACTCAGTGCGCTTATGAATGCGTACGTCACGATTATCAAAATTTGCGTCATACCATTATAGAAAATCGCTTTACTCATGAAGACTATCTTGAAAAAAATTTCATAAACCAATCCACACTACCCATGTCGGATGTATTTAGATGTTCTATATTGTTCCGTATTTGTTACGTATTCGTGCCTTTGCTAGGCTGGATTCATTTCGTATGGCTTGAAGAAATTCGACAAAAATATTGACAAATGAAGAATTTACAAAAATTTGTTGTCTCACATTATTGATTTTCATAATCATCTTTAGCATTGACGAGCCAAGGAAACAGAATTTCATTTTCTCAACAAGATAAGTACATTCGAGATTTACTCACCAATCCACTCGATTCAACTATGCCATTAACTGTGAAGTTTGTATCATCTAAAATTTTAAACATTCATGATGTTTCTTTAGATGCAGTATACAAAATGAAAAAATCTTCAGGATGCGATAGAAAAAGAGGAATAAAAGAAAATTAGTTATTAAGCAACACACTGACGATCAGCGTTATGCTTAGGTTGACAACTGCACTAGAATTTTCTCATCGATATTCATCATCGCACTCATCGATTGTCCGATACAAATCTTGTATTTTCGAAATAATATATCTATCTACTCATTATTGTTGGCATCAAGATTGAATTGAAATACTCTGGCGTTGTCCTGTCAATGTTCGTTCAATCCTAACCTAGGGTGTGGATGTGGGTGTGGATAAAGAAAACACTTGCACCCATACTCACACCCATTATACTCACATTCCGTCTACACCCACACCCACGTTTACACGCTATCATGCATATGCAACATAAGCATGTTTCAAATCATTTTGAACTAAAAATAAAATTAATGCTGAGGACTGGGTTCGACAATCGTTAAGATGAGTGCTTTTACATGAGCAACTGCTCATTCAAAGTCTGTCTGCTACATTTTGATGGTCTCTTCATCGATAATTCCAAAAACGGATTCCATCGGATCTTTGTAATTGACAAAACCAAGAGCCGGTTCCGAAATCCCATAGCCGAGCACGCGCAACTCAGCAGGGGATAATTGCAATTCTTTGCATCGTTCAGGTGGCACTACAAGATATTGATTTTCAGCCTGTCGGTAAAATGCCTTGGCCATGAATATTCCCACCGTTTCCCGTCGTTTGTCCAGGGTGATGTTTCCTCCTCCTGCGTGATAAAGATTGCCGAGAAAGATGGTAGAATCACCGATTTCCAGCTCGGCTGGTACAGCCTCTTCTACGAGCGGAATTCGATATTCATCTTCCCACATGTGAGAGCCTGGAATGACGATGGTCGCTCCATTATCCTTGTGCGTTCGAGTTAGAGCAGTTACACAGCCGATCATCATCGGTCGATCGCACGGTCTCGGATGACAATCGACATCGTCACGATGAAGTACTTGCTGCTTACCGCCTGGGTTCACACGAAATCCGACGGTCGACGATATGATTGGCTTTGAAACGACAGTGAGCTTCTCCGAGCCACGAATGAAGGTGTAGGCCGATGTGAGCAGTTGATTGGCCACAGCTAGATACAACGGATGCATCGCTATGTCGATACAAGCTTTCGAAATCCCAAAGAGACCAGTTGCTCGTTGCGTTGTCGAAGGAAAGAAGCCTGATTCATCGATGACGTCAGAGTTGAAATGGGGTGCAAGATCTTGTTTTACCTGTTCCATATGTTCCTTAGTGAACATACCATTAACAATAACAACACCGTCACGCTTAATATGTTGTAGTATTTCATCTTGAGCAGTTGCACTCGTTGCCGATACTCGTGCAATGGTCACTGTTGACGCAGACGACATTTTATTAAAGAATCGAGTTTTAAAATGCTGGATGTCTCTTCGCTTCTAGTCTGAAAATCGAAACCATAAACACAAAGATACACTTATTTCTGTTGGTAATAAAAGAAGAAATGTCGACAACAGTAATATTTGTCTACTTTTGTCTACTGAGCGGCAACGAGCTACAATAGTAAACAGTCACAATATAACCTATAAAAAACGAAGAATGATAAACAAAACAGGTTATCTTGGTTATTCGTTTCACCACGTGCGCTCCAAACTTAGTGAATCATCAAATAGGAGGAAAATTCATAGTGACACAGTGACGTGTATGCACGATACGTTGATGAAAATGCTTACGGTAGACGTTTCAAAGGTTCGACGAGATTGCAAAGCATATTAATTTATTTTGGTAAGGAAAAAAAACACATTTTGCAGGAAAAAGATTTCAATATTAAATTCTTCTTATCTTATTGCTTTCTACTTCTTTCGTAATTCTCAATTTTGAAACTTCTGTTTAAATATGCTATATGCACTAAAAAAAGTCTACAATACATTAGATATTCAGAATTAGAACTTTTGACTTCCACACGAGCTTGGGATCTTGCTAAACGGACTAGAGTCCTCGAATTTTCTTCAACATAAATCTACGAGGTTTGTCAAAACGTGATGAAATAAGATTTTGTTTAGAATGCTAATCGATGAGATTTTGTCAATTGGATGATAACATCATTCGAATTGAGGACAGAAGCAGATTTTAGATGATTCGAATCGACGTGAATAATTGATTTTTTTTAATGTTTGCAAAGCAATGGATATGGGAGTGCAACTTTCTTCTCATTTTTTTTTAAAGCCTGAAACTTTCAAAAGTTGTTTTCAGTGGAACCAATATTTCAACTTCGAAATTTATGTCATACTAGCGGAGGTACCCGGCGTTGCCCGGGAAATTTGATAGTACATCCTTGACGCAGTAGAAGGTTTAAAAATAATCTATCCTGTAGCGTGATGCAAAAATTCTAGTGACGACATATGATGTGTCAGAAGGAATGCGTTACATCATGGGCATGCATAACGAATGACAAAGGAGCCAAATTATATTCAAAAAAATATGCTACAGCTGATTATCTAAACATTGTAAACAAATACATTCATATCACTAATCCGGCACTACTGTGAGTCAGGAAAAAGAACTGATGCGTCATCGTTGTGAGTCAAGAAAAAGAACGAATATGCCATTATTGTGAGCTAGAAAAAAAGACTCATATGCACGTTTTTTCCTTATGGTATATAGTTAAAACAATCACACGCACAGACTCTCTAGAAAAGCCATTTATTGTAGTAATTCAACAAAAGGAAGGGACAAACACCCCCCTCAGGTGAAAGTTTTGGGTCGAAAACCATCCTATGACCTTCCCCTGGGCGAAAGGGTATTTCCTGCAAAATTTCATTGCATTTGCTCATACCGTGTCCAAGTGAATAGCGAACAGACAAACAGACAAACATTCTTCCTTATATATATAGATGTATTGAAATTTTATAGAATACAGTAATAAATCGATTTTTTTCCAGTAATTCTAAACATATGTCATATATTAATATAGTATCTTGAAATGAATGCTTTACAAGAAAGACAATAATTAGATCGCATAGTAAACCAAATAGGCTGAACAAAAGGAGCCTATGAGAAAAAACCTAGTTGAAGTGGACATTCATTGTATTTTGTAATGGCTAAATAGAGAAGAGTGATCGGTATACCTTACACACATTCAAGGTGGAAGTGCTTCTTTGTTTCGATATTTTCAGCATAATTATCTTACATACGTTGACGTTCAAACATTAATGAGCGATGTTATCTTTGTAAAACATGGAGTGAGTAATTTATTTTTATTATCTTACTACAGGTAGAGTTTATCGACAAATTGTTGGCCTTTCGGATTGTACGATGACTCATTCTTTTTAGCGTTTTAGTTTGGAATGTAACTCTGAGTGTTGTTAGAAAAAAAGGACGGAATCAGTTATAAAAAATCGTCAAGTTGATTGTATAACTTCATACGTTTCCTATTCATGATCGCATTATTATCGAAGCTGTTCTCTTGGCATAGGTTCAATACGATTGTTCCAGTGATTTTGACTATAACAAAATAGAACAAGTCGTAGAAAATTTCGACGGTAAGATGATACCGAAATAATATATATATATAAATTCGACGCATAACTAATGTATAAAATAATATTAGTTATTTCAAGAACCAATGCTTCTTGTGCTAAACGATAAGGTGTCTTGACTATTGACGATGTGATAATTTGATAGATATTAAATGTTGCAAAAGGTATTATTGGAACAATAACTATCACGCTTTGTAAGAATACCATTGAAGTTAAACTTCGCTGAAATGTGCCACGTAGTTGAATATCAGTAATGGAAATGATATTACGATATGTGAGCCAACCACTTATACACAATATCATACCAGGTAATATACTAAGAAGAACGGGTCGAACGAAATAACTTACATAAAGAGTCCAACCTGGATTAATGGAAGAACATCTTGTAGTAATGTTACCTGTGGCTGATTTTACTTCAATAATTGTATAGAAAAACAAAAATGGCACATTACTAGTAATAATTATTGGAATAACTATGAGAATAGCCATTTTTACTGTGCTCAGCTTACTTCGATTGCGCCATGATACACTTCGACATGAAACAAAAAATCTATCGATAGAAGCAAAACAGATACATGTTAAAGATGTAATAGTACCGGTATAAGAAATGAACAGACGACTTTTACACCAGGATAGATTAGTCGATGATGCATCAATACCATATCCTACAGCTAAAGCTCTTGGAAGAAGACCTACTGATAGTGCAATGAGATTGAAAAATGATGAAACAAATAATAGAAATGAACATGAATTTGTACGTGTAGAAAATAAAAGACGAAGATTAATCACATTTCCAATTATACCAAAAATAAATATCGGTAGACCAACATAAATACTGAACTGAATGCTGGTGATGCTAAATGATGTCGACGACATTATAATGATTTTAAAAAAATTATATCAACACACTAAATCATTTATTAACAATGAAAACTTTTTGTTTATATAATTCTAAATCATAATAATGGATAAGATATGTAAGATAATATTCATTATTAATATTAGATTACAAAAATGACACTATCTACGCCAAGAATATTTTTTATAATGTGTTTGTTGAGTTGAAAACACCTTGGTTTACTGCTTACATGTAAAGTCATTCATAAATTTACTTATTTTTTCTTCGTTGGCAAAAAGATAAAAATGCATTCTTCTATTTATGTAGTCAATTAATATATTCATCATAGTTCATATGTTTTGTGTGCGACAAGTCTGGAAACAAACTTGGCTCTCTTCTCTGCAGTAAGAATATGAGAAAGCCGTTACAATTATTACACGCATTGTCCCTGACAGATCATTGCTTATATTCAGCTTGACTATTTGTTGTCATTTTTCTTCTAATGGTTTAAATAACAAAAAAATACAAAATGTCAGTTTTAGTATATGATCAATATCTATATGCCATGAAAGAAGTGCAAAAGAAACGCAATAATGTAGTGCATCAACACGTCTGTCATTGCCATACAGTAAGTCGTGTTCTGGCTCGCTTTTGTCTAAAACAGAGTTGTTGACTGATGGTGAAAGATCAAATCATCCAATTTCTTTTACTATGAAATTTCACAAAATCTTTTAAAAGATGAGTTTCACGTATTTCTACTTTCTTCAAAGAAAAATCAGACAGTTAAAAAACTGCAATGTTCATAGTAAATGTCTCGAACTCTTCTATACACTGATATGTTACACTCTAACTTTGTGCATGGAAATTAAAAACAAAAGCACATGTCAATAGAGGCAACATTTTTGTCGCGGACAAAATACATGAACTATGATGAATATATTAATCGACTATATAAATAGAAGAATTCATTTTTATCTTTTCGCCAACAAAGGAAAAATAAGTGAATCTAGGAATAGTTTTACATGGAAGTATCAAAACTAAGATATTTTCTACTCAAGAAACAGATAATAAAAATATTCTTGATGTAGATGGTGTCATATTTGTAATCTAATATCAATGATGAATATCGTCTTACATATCTTATCCATTATTATGATTTAGAATCATATTAACAAAAAGTCTTCATTGTTATTAAATGATTTTGTGTGTTGATATAATTGAGTTACAAATATCACGAGCTTTTACTTTGAAGACATCCAACTTCTTCGAAAATAAGAAGATCGTTTCGTTCTGTTGTCTCGAATGAATTCAATTTGTCTCTCTTGTAATGAATGCATTTCAATCTTTGAGATTCATTTGAGAATTGTTGAAACATCGAACAAACCAATGATGTTCATCTAAAGCCAAAATGAAGTTCGAAATGTATTAAATAGCATAAGGAATATCTCTATTGTCTTGATACCATGACGAAATTCAAAATTCATTCGAAATCGAAATACTTTGATCTTTAATAAATGATTGACAATAATCTGTCTCCATTTATGTTCGTTCAAGAAAATGTCCCATGTTTCGGCTATTAAATGATGCAAATAAGGCATGTTTTGAAGAAGATTGACCGTCGCAAATATTGACCTGTGCACAGAAATCTTCAATGTAGTGATTGATGAAGCAACAATTGACTGCAGTTTAACTTTAAAGGGAACATACGACCGACACAGAGACGTCAAATACTTGATGGATTGTGAGATTTCTGTTAGTCTAGTATACCGAGAGATGTCTTGGTGAATGAAGAAGAAATGATTTAATTGAATATGCTAGTTCTTTTCTTTCTTGATATTGAGCACTTGATGCTTCAAGATGATCTCGTCTTTCTTAAGACAGACAACACATGTACTATTGAATTCTTAAGTATATAACACTCTTAAGTCGATCTTGATTGGTCTGGACGAAGTACTGAAATCAGCTCAGTACGTTTTTCAGTGGCTGATTTGTATTCAATTAAATAAAAAGCTAACAGCTTCGACTCTCTATATCTGTTAGAAAAAGAAACTTTGTTTTTTGCAGAATAGAACAAAATTTTATTATGTAATCATCCGAATAATTTTGAAAGAATATTAAACTATTAGAAACAAATGGCATTCTCATTATTCTCTGAAAAAAAATCAATAGACAAATTTATCTTGCCCACTAGAGTTTTCTTCTAAGGTTGGATAGGTCCATCCGAGGATTTTACGATTATTAGAAGACGACAAAGTATTTCCTACTCCGAGAAAAAGTAAAAATTGCTGTTGGGCCGTGTCGATAGAAATAGGTAGTGTTGAGACTACTTAAAAGAGCTAGCTACTTACAAAGAGAGTTTTATGTATGAAAATTCTAAGGAACTGAATTTCATACTCACTAAAAAAAACAAGCTGTAGAACAGTATCTCAGTCGTGCCATCAGTATAACCATCCTTCTAGACAAAAATATTAAACAGTCTTCCTAAATTTAACATGAAAACAATTTCTTTTTGAAACAATTACAAGGTAAACTCAAATATTTTTGAAATATGGAAAATTCTTACATTTCTCGAAATCTGTCCAAAGTTTAATCTGAATTTATAAAGTCTTGCGAATTCCACTCTTGTCTACCTTCGATCATTCTTAAAGATATCAAGTTTTCTTAAGTACTAAAAAAAACCACAATGAATAACTTTTTTTATCAAATAACTAATACAGATTGTGTCTGGATACGCTTAGCATTTGTGCAGTTAACACATTCGAATGTACTTCAGCGTATTCAATGATTAGACGATATGAACTATTACTTGCTACTGTCATTATTATGAAAAATAAATAAATAAATAGTGAAACGTAGATTAAATCATTCTACTATTCTTGTAATTACTTTAACGAGCATCTGACATTTAATCAATATCGATTCCAAACGTACGTTCTATTAATAGAAATATCAAATCACTAAGACAGCTGTCATTTGTTAGCGATGAATGAAGTTTTTTTTTTATAGAGGAATTAATAAAGTATCAATGTTTCAGCTTTTTCTGCTAGGAAAAAATGAAATCAACGTTTAATTCATCTGTAGATTAGCGATGTGCACCATACCTAACGATAATTGAAAACAAAGTAGTGTTTCATTTCTGAACACTTGCGTAAGAACAACATAAAGTTGAAAATGTCATGAAAGAATATCTAATTAGGTATGATATAACTGGACATATGTATAATTATAGGATGTTCGTTTCTATCTTACACTTATTTTGTAGTTAAATTTGCGCATATTTAAGTTTAAAAATGAATTTAAATATTATACTTGTCACAATAAAAATTCATGAAGTTTCGAGTTAGATCGATCTATTATTAGGATAATTTTTAATCAACATTGATCCATATTTTATTTATAAATTTAACAAATGAATATGAAATAGAGTAAACTCTCTACTCTTAACTTTTCAGCGTTTGATGTACATTCTTTTCTAAAAATTGCTACCAATAGTGTTTAATAGCTGATATAATTAAGGTGTGGTTGTCCAGGCGAATAAATAAGAAGAGATGGGAGGAAG